TCTATTTTTTGATATGTAATAAATAATTTTTTCCAACGTCGTTTTCTAGTTTCCTCTTCTTTGCTTGTGTTTGTCGGATATTTTTCCCTTAATTGATAAGACAATGCTTTATTATTATTATTATTTGGAGTGCATACGATGATATTTAATAAGAGTATGATAATTGTAGCTAATTTCATGGAATTATGCTGATCATCTTTAATCTTGTGAGAATCACCATATCAACAAAAACGATAATCTTCAAACAGTTCGAGATATTGGCATTAAATTTTGAAGGGGTTAATTAAAATCTTAAAAATATTTAAGGGTAAATTTTTTAGAACTTTTTAAAGGACTTAAAAAAATTTCCTAAATCTTGAGGGACCAAGGTTCACATTATCATCCACCCTTGATTTTAAAAACCTTTTTATTATTAGATTTTGAAGTTGTTTTGGTGTTGGTATAAACTAAGCAGCTTTTATCTTTGAATATTTAAATATATATATATATATATATATATATTCTTATCATGTTTAGTCTAGAATGAATTGAATTGAAAATAATTGCCAATAAAACAACTTTTATGATCTAATAAAATATTTAAAGAAATATTACAAGATTTTTAGTTTTATTGATTAAAATATGTGTTTGTTAATGAACAATATGAGATCTAATAAAGGGACAAAGTCAGATTGAACTATAACGAAACAAAATACTTAATTTTAAAGTAAATAAGGTCTTCTTTTGTCTATTCAGTTATTCTCGCATACAAATCTTCTTAATTTTTATCTTTCACTTTCGTTTGTTTTTCTCTGAATGGGTTATCTTATAATTTATTATCTAAATTTTCAATGTGTTTCGCTAGGAATTTATCATAGATTTCTTATAATTTTTCTTCACTTATAAGAACTTTCATGTAATTGCGAGAAATCTATTTATATTCGTAAATATTTAACTTTGCACACATGATTTGATCATTTTTTATTGCCTTTTCAGTTCCTTATGCTTAACTCTGACTAATCCGAATTAATTCATGTTGTATATTTGATATGGTTGAGTGAATTTTTTAGAGAAAAATTTACATACACAATACCTCAAATTTAAATAATTATAAAACATACGTGCTTTATAGAGGAATTTGAACCTCAATTTCACACGTAAAAATTAAATTTAGTTCGATTTAAATAATTATAAAATATATAAATTACAAACCGTTTAAATTCTATATTTGAAATCGAATTTTTAATTAATATAATTTTGTTGGTGGAGATATTGGAGTCGACCAATAGTCGCCTCCACGCCATTGCTTTTCTTGCTTTCCAAAGAAATAATATCTTTTAATTCAATCCAAAGAAAATCATTAAAGCTCTCTCTTTCTCTGCAGTAATCATTTCACCCTATGTTTCAGCTTCTGTCTCACACCCATAATTCCTCGTTTTCCCTCTCAGATTCCCAGAAAATTCTCCTGAATTTTTCTTAGATTTCAAGAAGAATTCCATTTCTATCAATATTAAGGTATTTACTCTTTTTATCACTCGCTCCTCTTGTAAGTATACTTTTGAACTCTTTAACAAAGCATCAACCTTTTCCCCCCTCTTTCGCAGCTTGTGTTTTTTCATATTTATGTATCGAATCAGCATCTGGGTTTTTATTGTTTTGTTAAAAAGAGTGCTTTAGTTGCTTTACCTTAATTTGATCTTAGCAAAGTTGGTGACTTTTAGTTTGTTGCCTAGCTTTCCCAGTGTAAATTCTATGTTTTTTCTCTCTTTTTTCAAAGATTTGGCATTCAATCTGGAATCATGTTCTTGTATAGTTGTATGTTTCTTCTTAGTGTATTCTTTCAGCATTGATTTTTCACTTGCCATTCAAGATTCAGTTTTAAGACTCTTCTGATTGTTGTTTTTTTAGCTATTTTTAAGATAATGTCTGAATCGAATCTATGTTTTTTAGCTGTAGAACTTGGGAGATCAAATTAGTCATACACTTGAATTTAGAATCTGCTAATCAATCTTAACGTGATTCATTCAATTGCAGAAAAGATGGGTATATATCTCAGCTCCCCTAAAACCGAAAAGCTGTCGGAAGACGGCGAGAATGATAGGGTTCGTTACGGTTTATCATCGATGCAAGGATGGCGTGCAACTATGGAAGATGCTGTGAGTAACGAATTAAACCTTTAATATGGTTCAGTTTGTAACAGGGTTCATTCTGCCGCCCGTCTTCGTTATGATATATGTATTGTGCCTTACATTATCTTATGTTTCGTGCAAATTACCGAATTCTATTTATACCATGGATATGTTGATTACTTTTATTATTTGTTTTTCCTAGCATGCTGCATATCCTGATCTAGATGCTTCTACTTCGTTCTTTGGTGTGTATGATGGTCATGGAGGTAAGACTTGGATGGTTCAGGTACTTCTTATGATCGTTTTCTGTACACCATCTGAACTTGAGGTTTTTGTTGCTTCCCATTCATATACTTTTTTCTCTTTTAGAACTTGAACCAATTGAAGGATCTTAAACTTTTTCTCTTTAAAAAAATGATAGTTAATGCTTAGCTACCTTAAACTTTTTGTGTTTAAAAGCTTCTCAAAATTGCTTTCATATATCGGTCTGAGAATAACATCCTGCTTTTTGTCTTTGTAATGGCCTTCAACTTATCCGAATTCATAACTTGCAGGCAAGGTGGTTGCAAAGTTCTGTGCTAAATATCTTCACCAGCAGGTTCTCAAGCATGAAGCATATGCAGCTGGGGACATTGGAACATCAGTTCAGAGAGCATTTTTCAGGTTACTTAATTTGATTATGTTTGTTCTTCACATTGTTATCAGCAATAATGCTGGTTGTTCAATTCATTGATCCCCGACTTTCCTTTTTGTTCCGCCTTTTAGGGCTACTAACATCTCATTATGATTTTCACAAGGTTTAGTTCCCCCCAACGATATCATACGTATGCTTGCTCCATACATAGTGAAATAGCATCTCTATGCTATTATTTTGGTTTTAGGCTTGAAAAGTAAAAGTGACACTACCGGTGTGACTGTTTGGGTGTTTGAATAATGATTGTGCTGCCATTCTTTTTTGGGTGGTTTGAATGCCTTACCGGCGTTCCTTTCATATGCTTCTAACTTAAGTTACGTTTAGTGCAGAATGGATGAGATGATGCGTGGACAAAGAGGATGGAGAGAATTAGCCATTTTGGGCGATAAAATAAACAAGTTTACCGGCATGATAGAAGGATTGATATGGTCTCCGAGAGGTGGTGATAGTAATGGCCAAGTTGATAATTGGGCCTTCGAGGAGGTACTTACAAAACCAAGAAGAGTATGGCTGGATTATCGTCATTAACTACGATGGAAACCGAGATCAAAGAAGAAAAATCGAACTTACATTGCATGATAATATGATTCATCCATAATTTTCCTGCATCAATTTGTTTGTATAATTTATCCATTGTTTCTGTAATTGTAATCAGGGCCCCATTCTGACTTTTCTGGACCGACTTCCGGAAGCACAGCCTGTGTTGCAGTTGTTAGAAACAACCAACTTATTGTTGCAAATGCCGGTGATTCTCGTTGTGTGATATCTAGAAAGGGTCAGGTAATAATCTATTAATGACTGCAATTTCTTTCCAACCGTGTTCTAAAACCGAGATTATTTTTGTTAATCGATTTCAATTGACTTTAAGTATCATTGGAGGTGAACACTCTTTTCTGTCTGAATTGGTGATCTATTTTAATCTTTTCTTATATGTCTTCATTTTTTCTTAGGCATACAATCTTCTAGAGATCACAAACCTGATCTCGAAGCCGAGAAAGAAAGGATTTTAAAAGCCGGTGGGTTTATACATGCAGGACGAGTCAATGGCAGTTTGAATCTTGCAAGAGCAATAGGTAATTAATTTACCTCGCTGCTCGATATACAGAAAAAGAAACAAAGAAAGTGGAATAACATTTCTACACATCCATAGCTTCCTATGCAAATGAAGGCTTCCAGACACATCTAATATTCTTTTTGCTGCAGGTGACATGGAATTCAAGCAGAATAAATTTTTATCTGCTGAAAAGCAAATCGTAACCGCCAATCCTGACGTAAACACCGTAAGTATATTCTCCCTTGGCATTGTAGCCAGGACTATTGAAATTTTCTACTTTTCCTTTGCGTGTGCTTATCAATCGAAAATATTTATTTCGAAATTTTCTATTAGGTTGAGCTCTGTGATGATGATGGCTTCATTGTTCTGGCATGTGATGGAATCTGGTACATCTCATTTAGTTGGTTACTTGTACTCTTCATGGCTCACCATATAACGCCTTTTCAACTATGGATTTTATATTTCAGGGACTGCATGTCAAGTCAGATGCTAGTCGATTTTATTCATGAACAACTGAAATCGGTCTGTACATAAGCATCTCTAACTTTGGTTGATCCTTAATTTATGATTACTCGGTTTATTCCTTCTTTTTTTTTTTTTGTCTCTTTAGTGCTTAGTAGAAACTATTGAACGCAATGCAGGAAAGCAAGCTTTCTGTTGTTTGTGAGAGAGTACTTGATAAGTGCTTAGCACCATCGACAGCCACCGGTGAAGGTTGCGACAATATGACCATGATCTTGGTGCAGTTGAAGAAACCAATCAAGTCTGCCTCCTATGCAGAGGTGCAATCCTCCAATTCCGAATCTGTTGAAACCAAATCAAAGGTAGAGGAAAGTCCAGAAAACTAGTAGTTGCAACTTCCTCAAGGGAGAGATGCATTTGTAGATGATGGTATGTTGTTTATCCTTTAAAATGCTTTTATGTGTCATGGATTGATGTTAAAGAATATTTCTTTGTATCATAGTGTACAACATATCAAGAAATGTTTATTCAGTAAATATTGCAAGAAAAAGCTACTTAGTTCAGTAAATAAAGGCAATTTGCGATAAAACAGTACAGCGTTTGACAAAAGAATCACAAGATCCTCTCAACATAACACTAGGTAGTGGTATTCTACAATCAACTATAAAAAGCAACTCGGTCCAAAAATGAGCATTAAAGTCTACAAATAAGAGCATGGTTGCATCTTAATCTTCAACCATACCTCCTAAGACAAACATAATCATAACCCAAATCATGTTTCACACATTTAATCAATCTTGACAGACGAGTAGATAAGCCTTGTGAACCAAAAGCATGCATAAAATCCAATGGTACCGGTTAGAACGAAAAATGCATATGACGCAATTAGCATGTATCCAAAGTAAAGCATCCCGGAAACCAGTTTAGTGATCTCAAGCTTTGTGAAGAAGTAGAATGTGGCATATATAAATAGATACAAGGCTGAGGAGCCTGCCGTCAGATATGACCTCCACCACCACAAATAATCTTCACTGCATAACTGGAAGTAGCAAAGCACAATGGTTATTTCAGCACAAGTGATTAGCAGGATAATGAAGACCAAGAACAGGAAACCAAAGATGTAGTAGAACTGATTCAGCCAGATTGAGGTGAGAATGAAGAACAGCTCGATGAAAACGGCTCCAAAGGGAAGTATTCCTCCGATCAGAATAGAGAAAATCGGGTTCATGTACCAAGCCTGTTCAGGGATTTGCCTTGGGATTTTATTCGTCTTAACAGGATCCTCAATTGCTGGCTTCCTGAACCCAATATAACCACCCACAAAAACAAGTGGAACTGATATTCCAAACCACAGGAGAACCAGAACAAACATTGTCCCAAAAGGCACAGCCCCAGAAGACTTCTGGCCCCATATGAGAGCATTTAAGACAAAGAAGATGGCAAAGACAATGGCTGGGAACATGAATGCAGTTCTGATAGTTACTTTCTTCCACTCGGTTCCTTTAAACATTTTGTAAAGACGGGCAGAGGCATAGCCAGCAAAAATACCCATGAAGACCCAAAGTAAGAGCATAGCTGTCATAAGACCACCTCGGTTTGAAGGGGAAAGAAATCCGAGAACAGCAAAGATCATGGTTACAAATATCATGCCCAAAAATTGAACACCAGTGCCCACATAGACGCAGAGTAGATCAGAATTAGATGGAGACCTGAAAACATCACCATGTACAAGCTTCCATCCTGTCTCTTCCAGGGTTTCTTCCTGGGTTTCTAGTTCATTATACCTAGAAATATCGCGGTATAGCGTCCTTAGCATGATCATTGCTACCATGCCTGAAAGGAAGAGAACAATCATCAAAGAATTGACAATTGAGAACCAGTGGATTTGATCATCACTCATTAAAAGATACGCATCCCATCTAGATGCCCACTTCACATCACTCTCCTGAAAATCAACAAAAGAAAATATAAAATTGTTAGCACCTAATTTGGAAGTGATGACAAAACCTCATTGGTAACATTTTTCAAGTAATATTTCATCAGCCAAATTTACTTGAATATAGATGATTGTCATAGTAGGCACTTGAGCGCATGGTTGACACTGTAAAAGAAACCTTTGCAATCATAAGCAACGAGAATTATTTATAGTTGAAGATCTGACCTGGTAATCAACATCATAGGTGAATACAATCTCTTTCTTTGCTTCAACTTCTTGAGGAGTGTTAGAATTAACAACCGTGCGTTTATTGTGGGGATCACATGTTGTTAAACGAGCGTTCTCACTCCACTGCCCCTCATATTCATGTTTGATACTGCATTGTTTTGATGCAGAAAGAAAATGCCATCAAAACCAGATACCATACCATATACACCTAAAATTAACAATCTTAAGATATCCATAACTCGGAGAAACTAACCTGTATGGTTTAACCTCAAATCCAACAATTCTAGCAGAGTCAGTTTGCAAATCCTTATGATATTTGACAGTAAATGCCAAATGGTTGTGAATGAAATATTTTTCCTCCTTGCTCTGAATTCAGTCAAAGTAAGCATACATAGTAGCTGACACATCTACAAGAAAAAGGAAGTTCTGATTCTAATAGATTATGTTTTTACCCCAGCATATTTCCCTTTAAGCCCAATATGGTAGCCAAGCTGATAAACAGTGTGAGGCTCCTGATCTAATCTTCTAACAGGAAATACAAGAGGAAGGTTATCCAGGATCCTGTCAAATGAATAACAAATTAATTAGCAAAAGAACCTTCATTTCAGAACAATTATAAGATTGACAGAAAAATTCCGTGTCAGAAAAAAATGCTACATATTGACACGGTATTCATCATTAATCTTCTCCTTAAACTGCTTTGCTGTCCTGCCATCAAGTGTAATTCGACAAAGAATGGTGCACATTTGTGGCTCTCTCATTTTAAACTGCATTAATTCAAGTCAAAGTAGGAATAAGAATAAAGAAGAAAAGAGTTAACAGTCATAAAAACAATTTGCCTCGTTATCATCAGAGACAAAAACCAACCACATAAGGAGAGTTTTCAATTCGGTCACCACGAAGCACTTCCCCAAGATTCTCTGCACTGTCCACTATCTTTTTCGGAGCACAGAAAGGAAGTGAATAATAAGAGTAAGGAAGTTGTGTCTTTATAGATGTCAATTTGTTCACTTTCAGCTTCAACAGATCTCCCTGCAAACCCCCAAAAAAAATCAATAATGAAACAAAAATAGTTCCTCAATAGAAGACTCCAAAATATCAGAGCACCTCGCAAGAACCTGAAGCGGTTTAACTTTAGTCAAAGTCATTACCGATTAGGTACACAAATACTATCAACAAAATAATCAAGTATGCCTTCATTATGGCATGTAAACTAAACCTCTTTGGAGACCAAAATTTCCTAATCTCAAACTAAAAACACTTGCATTACATAAATCAATCAGAAGTACTATTGCCAGATGCCTTGGACAAATGCAAAAAAAATGTATTCAACTATACATTTCCAAAAAGTGTGCACTCTCAAAGTTTTTTAACAAATAAATCATTCGTTCAAAGCATCCTAGCTGAATCTGAAACAACTTGTAACAGACCAAGAAGTTATGAAGCCGACATTTCCATCCCCAACACAGATAACACTTATTAATTCCCTTATCATGGTGTTCTATTGAAAACAAACAGAGATCGAACTCAAAATACGAAATCAAAACCAGATCAAATAAAAAACAGATCGAGCAATAAAGAGAGAAAAACAAGAAAACCGAGAGGAGACCTTCTGGAAGTCCTCGGGGGCGACACCAGGAAGGTAGAAACAGTTGGTGCCGTGAACAAGCAAAAGGAAGAGAAGCGCCGAAATCATCGCGGAAGCATATTCGTTGACAGATCTCGATCGAGATCCCATATCGACGGCAGAGAAGCTCACTTTCTCGAAATGACCAATGGAGATCTGGGAAGGAGCACGAGAGATCGTTTGGGAGTGTTACAAGGAAAATAAACAATGGAGGAAAACCAATTGCGGGGGAGTTTTCTGTCCTGCTTATTTTGATACGGTGCGTATTGGTTATTTATTCTCCTATTGCCACGTGTATTCTTCTGCTTTATTTTTTTATTGTTCATGGATCACGTAATCTGTATGATTTGGAACTGGACTATTAAGGCCCAATTCATGTTTTCCTTTTCCCTTGATTTAACGTAATTAGTAATTAATAAGTACGAACCAAACAATCTTAGTAATTAATAAATTATTAGTATCTTTTGAGATCACAGATTAGAACACCGTATATGTAGAAGTATGGTTTTCAGAACCGGACCGGTTAGCGAACCGGTTATGCTACCGGTTCGACCGGTCGGAAGAATCGGACGACGTCATAATTATTTAAAAAATTAAATAAAAATACCAAAAATATTTAATAAAAAATATTTTTTTATATCATAAGTCATATTCAAAGCAAGTCATAACATATATAAGTTAAGAACCATAAAATCAAGTGAAAAAAAATGATTCAAATTAACTACAACATAATATTTAAGGTAAAGCATATTAAATAATAAATATAATTATATAACTATAATTAAAAAATAAATTTGGGGTTAAAAAAATCATAACAAAATGATATTGTTTGGTTTAATTTTTTTTTTAAAAAAACAATCTCAAATAGCTAAGAAACATAGAAGAGCATCCCAAAAGTTTAAAGAGTAAAAATATGAGAACAAAACAATCTCACATTGCTAAAAAACATAGAAGCGCATCATAACTAACTTCTATAAATAATAGAGGTAATTTGGCATTCAAAATCATGGAGCCTTTTGGTGAGCATTGAGTGAACTATTCTGTTACTTCAATCAAGCTCGAATTTTAGGCTTCAATCGAGTTTCTAATTTTTTTTTGAGTTCAAGCCTTTTTGAGTTCAAATTTCAATATTATATTTCGAGTTTGAGTTGAACTTGATAATTTTTAGCTTGTGAGTTTGAGTTGAGTTGAGCTTACTTTTAAAGTTTTCAAGTTCGAGTCGAGCTCAACAATACTCGAGTTCAACTTGGCTCGTTTAACAAACGACGTTGTTTGGTTTATTTAAAAAAAAAACAAAAACAAAAATCCCGATTTTTTCCGGTTTTCAATCGGTCCGGTTCGAACGATTCAGCTGTTCTGACCGGTTCACTAATAGCGGTTCAATCGATTTTGATTAAACCGGATTAAACAACGGTTCCCGGTTGAACCGACTGGTCCGGTCCGATTTTCAAAACAGAGTGTAGAAGTATGAGCATTTATTGTTAGTGGTTGAGAGTCTTATCACTCTATTCTTAGTAAGTTTATAATTGGGTCACCATGTGTCAATAAATTAGAATCGAATCAATCAATTATAACAATCATATCATTGTGTTGTTCAATCTCAAGTGAACGATAAAAGATTCCGTTATAAAACATCTATCTATTTTTTTATTACACATGGTGATGCTCAAAGTCATTTGTGTTTCTCGAAGATTAAAGGTTATATCCATTGATTCAAATTGCGGAGAGTTTGTCGTTGGTGGGAGGAAGAAAATATCTGAAGATGAAGATCGTACGGCATGAACAATGTATATCAAGTTTAAGAAATTCAAAAGAAGAAGAAGAAGAAAGTGATTTTGTGACTTTTAAGAGAGATTCTTAAAATTCTAATTTGATGCATCAAATGAAGGTATAATGACGAATCTTATAGTGAAGTTTTAGGTTCATTGACATTATAGATGATGAAATTGATAACTCAATTGTAATTTTTCCAAATACAATGACTAAATTATAATTTACTAATAATACGGTGACTCATAGTGAAAATTTAACAATAAAATTATACACATGATTATGGGTGTAAATGAACAGAGCGTTTGGTAAATTATTCGTATAACATTCATTTATATTTGTTTGTTAAGTTAAACAAACAAACATGAACAAAATTTTTATATTCATTTAATAAACGAACGAATAAGGACAAATGTATGTTTGATTCGTTTATGTTCATGAACAAGTTTGTTTATGAGCTCATTTATCGGCTTATTCATTTATATTATTGAACAAGCTGGTTTAAAAGCTCATTTACTTTTTATTTATTTTTTACATTTTAAATATTGATGAATATAGAGTATAAACTGAACATATTATGAAATTTGGATTTTAAACTATAGAGTTTAAGGAGTTCAAGCACTAGTGACATAATTTCACAACATTTTACTTGCAAATGAAAATGTTTAATATAAACAATGTTAAACAAAAAATGTTCATGAACATTAAATAAATATGTTCACGAACATATAAACGAACATGTTCGTAAATGTTAAACGAATATATTCATGAACGCTAAACAAACAAACACGAACACCTTCAAAAATAAATAAACGAATACGAAAACAATATTAAAAATTTAAACAAATATAAATGAACATAAACACCTTTAAAAGTAAACAAACGAACACGAACGCGTCCTTATTCATTCCAACTTGATTCATTTATACCCCTTACTCATGACGTAAGTTTTGCATGAACAAAAGATTACATGTTAGATAACCATTTGGGATTTTACAGTAGAATGATCTAATTGTTACAATCAATTAATTAAGTGACTTAATTATAACTTTTTAAAATATAATAGCTCAATTATAGACTTACTAATAACAGAGTAACCTGTGGTAGTTTACCCAATTGTGTGTGTGTGTGTGTTTTTTTAATTTATTTATTTTCGTCCGTGTGTGGGTTTCTGATCTTCTTTTAATTTCGTCTGTCTTCTGGTTTTTAATCACTTCAACGTTAGCAGCAGATTCTATTGCATTCCCTGTTTCAGTTCCACTCCAACATACGATACCAGTAGCCATGGTAATTCCTCTTTTATTTCCCTTTAATCGTTTATTTTTGCTTCTATTTTTTTTCTTTGTAATTCATCTTATTTCCTCTGGAAACTAGGGTTTCGTCCAGTGTTTTATTATCAATACAAAACTAAGAGGCACGGTTCTTTTAATCGAGCGAATTGCAGCTATTTTCTTATTATTACTACACAATTTATGATTTCATTTGTAGAAATTAATTGTTAGATTGATTGATCGATTCTTTCCGGCGTATGAATCACGCTCAATCCTATTATGATAGTAATCAATTTTTTTTTTTGGATTACTGCGGACAGTAGTGTATTTTTTATCTCCTCTGTTTGTTTTTTATGCGAAATTTAGTCAAACAGGCACACCATTATTTTGATGCAAACTTCACAGAGCAGAGCAACGAGGACATTTATGGATTATGATTCCATAAGTCAAGCTATGGATGGTATGTTTTGTTAAATTTTGCCTATAGTTCCTTGATTTTGGGTTTTTTTTTCTTCTTATTAAATGTTTTCCATTATTATAAGTATTTGCTAATTTGACTGACTGGACTGGCTGTGGGATTCGGATTTAAGTTCCCACTGTTCTTGCTATCAGCATCAATTGCAGGCGGTGGACTGTACCTTTTGGAAGTTGGTTTGTGGAATTTAAAGTGTTCTTTAGATTTGAATCTGCATATTATATGTCTTTCTTTCTCTAGAATATATGTCCAAAATCATTTATATTTCCGAGTTGCAATGAATTAGTGTGGTTCCAACATGAGTCTACGGATTAAATCTACTCTTTTTTGTTGTTTTATAATATTTGACATGTCTGGTGGTTTATGCCATTTTGCATGTGCAGGGATACGTGGATTATATGAAAGGAAACTTAAGGATCTAAATCCAGCATCAGGAAACATCACTTATGACATTGCTGACCTTTACAATTTTATTGATGGCCTTGCAGATATGAGCGACCTTGTGTATGTTTCTCTTTTCTCTATTGTCCACCACTTTTTCCTTTCTTTTTTAATGGATTATTCCCATGTGTTTTATGTTATATTGCATGCTTAGTATTCACGTGTCCATCATAATGACCATTACTCAAAGCTATGGATATTTCATGTAAAATCTGAACCCCAAGGAATAACTGTGTTTTGTGTTCGTAAGTTGCTGTGGACTATTTCCTTCTGCTGAAACTCAAATATGTTTTTGAATAAGTTTTGTCCTGAACCCCAAGGAATAAATGTGTTTTGTGTCTTCACATAAATAGGAGACGGCATCTTGCAACGGATTATTATTATTATTATTTTTGAATAGATGTCCATAGGAAGCTAAACAGTTTACAACTTACGTCCTTGCAAAGCCTCTATACCTAATATTTGTAGCATGCAACTTATTGTTTATTTGGTGGGTGATTGATTTCATTATTATTATTATTTTCTTGCTTGCAGCTATGATCACAGGATTCAAGCTTTCTTGCCTAATGACAGGGAAAGGATCAAACAGAAACTATTTCAACACCTTAAGGATGCGTTTGGTTCACGGAATGTAAGATATCTAGTGGGAATAAAAGATTATCAGGTAATAAGATTACTGAAAATGTTGTATTTTGTGTTTGGTTGGTTTAGTAGGAATGTAAGATTACCGTGTTTGGTTAAAGAAATAAAAGATTATTGGAATGTATATTTTAACAAATTGTTCTTATTATATATTTGTTTTTTTTAACAAGTTGAATTATACTATAATATTACTATAATTAATTTATATATTTCCTTTAAAAAATTTAAATTCATAAAATTTATATAATTTTTTTGTTTACAAAATTAAAAAGATAAATAGGTTTAATGAAAGGGTAAAATTTTATTTTAATCCCTGAACTTCATATAAAATTATAATTATGGATTTTTTTGTTAATCTAAAATAGTTTAAGGATAAATTTATAATTTAACCTTCGTATAATTTTTATTATTCAACGACAGAAGAAAGATAATTTTGAAAAAAAAAATTAAGGGTATTTTAGTCTAAAACGTCGGTAATCCAATAATACCTAAGGGAATGGGTAATCACATTCCCGGTAATATATCCAAAATTATTCACTGTAAGTAATAAAAAATTACTGACCAACCAAACGGGGGAATGTAGATTATATTCTCTCAGTAATGTTGTATATTGTGAACCAAATGACCCCTAAAAAGTTAACACATTAATTAAATCATTTCCGCTCAAAGTGGTTTTTGATAGAAAGAAAATGTGTATCAAAGTGTCACACCTCAATTTGTGGGATTAGTTATTTTTGTTAGTTAAATATGAGGTTTAAAGTATCAATCTAATTATAATGTTGGATTAACTATAAATGTTGAGAATAATTAAGGGATTTTATGTGTAAATTTATCCCTATTTGAGTTTAAGGGATTTTAAAATGAGAAAATAACCTTAGTGACCAAAAATCCCATATAATATACGATTTTAACCAACTTTTTCCGGATTTGCCAAAATGACCAACAAAATCGCAATGCGATCGCTAATTCGCAACGCGATCTCCATTATCGCAAATTCGCGTTGCATTTTCGCAATGCGATAGTTGAAAATCGCGTTGCGATGGTCTACAGTATCGTTGCGATTTTCCCAATTCGCAATGCGAATAGGTAAATCGAAACAGTTTACTTATTCGCATTGCGAATTGGGAAAATCGCAACGCGAATTGGGAAATTCGCAATGCGAATAAGTAAATCGCAACGCGAATTGGGAAAATCGCAATGCGATACTGACTATCGCAATGCGATAATAAAAAATCGCAACGAGATACTTACTTTCGCAACACGATACTGACTTTCGCAACGCGATTTACTTAGCGTCATTCGTATTAACGCGTATTTTTTTTTCAAATTCCAAACACGTATTTTTTCTTAATAAATCGAAAAATGAACCGTCCACAGTAATCGCAACTCATAACCTCAAACCCAAAAACACAACACTCAGTCCCATCTCCATCTCTCACTCTCTACGGCGAAATCCGTCCCCATCTCCGAAGATTTCCGTCCCCATCGCCGGCGAAATCCCTCACAACCATACACAGTCAAAAATCCCTCACAATCATTCAGAAATGGAAAATCAACCTCCGAGGTTTAGTTTTTTTTATTTTTATTTTGAAATTTTTGCATTATTTTAGGTTTTTCATATTGAGATTGATGATAAGTTTACTGGTAATTTCAATAATAGATTAACCATTTCACTTAGATTTCTTATTAAATTCATTCGATTGCTGCCAATACTGCTAAACTGTTTAGCCTGTGAAGTTAGTATTTGTCTTTGCTTTGTCTTTTAGTTGAAGTAATGCAGAAGAAGAATAGTTTCGAGAATGAGAATCGCAACGCGGAAATGACTATCGCAACGCGAAACCAAAATCGCATTGCGATTTTCATTTCGCGTTGCGATTTTAATTTCGCGGTTGCGATTTTCATTTCGCGTTGCGATTGTCTGGTCGCGATAGTCATTTCGCGTTGCGATAGTCATTTCCGCGTTGCGATTCTCATTATCTCGTTGCGATTTTCATTTCAACCAAAAGACAGAAACAGTGTTGCAAATTTTAGTTTCAAGAATAAACTACTATTTATGTTTATTGTTTTGTTTTTATATCTTGACAGTGTAATTTTTGGTATATCTAACTTGGTATGTTTATTGTTTTTTTGTAGAAATTTTTTTCGGCTTCATTGACATTAAGGAATAAAGTTAGCCTAGCCACTACAATTGCTTCGAAGCTTTCACCTGCACAAAGAAAATTGTTTGAAGAAACCTGCTTCGGGCCATGGCTGAGAGTACAGCATCCGGGTGGAGATGCTAGTTTGACCCATTTGTGGCTTCAGACCATGACTAGCGATCTACCCGACAGTATACAACGTGGTGAGGAAGAGATATGGTTTCATTTTCCACCGGCGTATACTTGTTTTGGGCGGAAGGAGTTCTGCTTAATCACTGGTCTACGATTCGGACACGATGATGTAGGCCGGTACACTCGTCATATCATCCGCCCATCATGGTTATCCAGGGTTTTTCCTGATGAGTCAATAGAGAAGCCGAACTTACACGTCGACTACATGAAGAAATTGTTTAATAAGAAAGATGGTTTTACTCGGATGAATGACGTCGATGTTGTCCGAGTATGCCTTCTACTACTTTTGTATGCCGGCTTTCTAGGTAGAGAGACCAGACAACCTATTCCTCAGGAGCTAATATTATTGGTAGAGGACCTAAATGCATGGAATCTGTTTCCGTGGGGTTCGTATATATGGAAAGCTACCTGGACTAAGTTGTCGTCTGCCTTTGATGACCGCAAAAGTTTGCGGGGCGATGGGTCGAAATACACTTTGTCAGGCTTTGTTTGGGCCTTTAAGGTAAGAATTTCTATATAATGTTTTCAAAATTATAATTAATTATTTAACAATTACTAATGTTTGTTATTATATTGTTTGTAGATTTGGATATTCGAGGCTTTCCCCAGCATGCGGACATATGCATTAAAATCCTCAGATGATATTCCTAGGGCTATTTCCTGGAAGAGGAAACGTATGTTGGATTGGGAAGACTTAATACCATATGCGACAATAAATAATGTAAGTTAACACAAATACTATCATATATAAACAAGTTATTAATAGTAGACGTTTAACTTTGTTTTAATTTTTATATTATTAGGAGGCCAACACTCCATTAATGAGACTGACACCCACAGAGGCTGAGCTTGCCACTGATTGGTGGCAAGCTAGTCAGCGTTTTTTTGATGGCACGAATGATTAGCAGCCTCCACTTCCTCCACTTCGAGAGCCATCACCTCACCCAGAGCCATCACCTGATCGACCCGACTATACACCTCTACAACGAGAGCCATCACCTATCCCGTCACATCATCGAGTCTCTTCTCCACCATCACCTCATGATAGGCGACCGACAAAGATGCCACGACTTCTATCTCCCTGTTCTCCACCTCCACGGGATGAGTCAAGGGAGTTACGTGATGAGGTCAATGCCTTGCGTGAGGAGATCGGTACTCTACGCGATAACGATGGTGCATGGCGTGTGGAGGTGTCTACTTTACGTGGTGAGGTTGCCGGTCTACGTGAGATGGTAGTATCATTGCAGAATGAGGTTCATACTCTACGCAACGAGATAAGTTTAAGATTTTCCATATTTAACTTGATGATAAATTTACTCGTAATTTCACTTAAATTAACCATTTCACTTAGATTGCTTAGTAAATTTATTCGGTTGCTGCCAAAACTGCTAAACTTTTTACTTTAACACTGTGAAGTTAGTATTTGTCTTTGTTTTGTCTTTTGGTTGAAAGTTTGAAATATATTTATCTTTGTTTTCACTGTTTAAATATCATGTATGTTTATTTACTGATATTTGTATTTTTATTTAGCGGACCGATAAGGTGGATGCTTTACGTCGGGTTTTTCTTGCACGACAGAGTTCACGCATCAGACGGCGTGCACGTGCTATTAAGTCTCCGTATACCCCAATAGTGCGAAGACACCGCAAGAAGAAGCTCGACTCGCCTATCATCCCTCAAGAGTCCACTCCTATCGTTGAAGAGGCCCCTATCATTCCTCGAGAGTCCCCTCCCACCGTTCAAGAGGCCACTGTCATCGTTGAAGAGGTCCCTCCCACCATTCAAGAGCCCGATTCACATGGCGTCATATGTAGGATTCTTGAGAAACCCTCTGACGTGCCGGACATGATGGATTCAAGTTGGCTCTCGTATGAGTTACCGGCCAGTACCATACCGGTATCTGAAGAGGAGAGGAAACAACTACCGGACACAATTCTGGATAACACCCTTTGGGCTAAGACCGCAGTTGATTTTTATCTACACGAGCGAAGCCAGGGGTGTTTCACTGACATATGCAAGCTCAATGATGATATCTATTTGTTGCTTGATCGGTTTTGGTGGGGCGTATTATTAGGGGTCGAAGACAATGGCTATTTCGATGGAGGGGTAAGTCTTATATTTTTCTTATATTTTCATTTGATTAATTTGTTTAAAAATTAATGTAATTCACTAATATATGTATTTTTTTGTAAAACAGCATATCGATGCGTGGGTGTCACGTCTACTAATAATTAGGAAACTTAAGGAAAATAAAAGAAATACACGGTATACAATAATGCCGACGGCTTTTAACGCAGTTCTCTTGAAGAATCAACGAGATGAATCATTTGCGTTGGGCAATGGACAAGCTAAACTTTATCCTGCATGGTGGGAGGTCGATAAGGTTAGTGTTTATTTTAGATTGAGTTTAAAGGTATTCATAAATAAGTGCGCAAATGAATGAATTATTACTTATGATTGCAGGTGTTTATCCCTGTTTTGGAACGTAACCATTGGCTTCTCGTCGAGCTTCAGATCCCATCCCTTAAGGCAATAGTATATGACAGCATGATAAATTACATATCATTGGCTGATTTAAGAGATATTATTAAGGGATGGAGCTCTTATTTGGCTAAATACTTGGATGCGATAAATTATTGGACTCGTTCTGGAAACAAGAAGCCAAAGAAGCTCAATATTACAGTTAGCAGAG